GTTCTTGAATATTAAGTTTCAAAGATCTAACAATGAACTGCAAAACTTTTTTTTACAGTTAAAAATAGTAAATCTTTATTTTTTAGATATTAACAGAGCAGGCTCGATTACCTCAACTTTTGGTTTGATGAGGTACACAAAAATAATTGAAAACGAAGTATTTTCATGGGCACCCATGCAGACTGTCTATCCACAACAGAAGGAAAGCACAACTTTCAAAAGATCTCCTATATACTCCTCATAATAATAATAACAATAATAGGCAGACTAAATTACAATGCAATCCAACATAAATTAGCCACCTTATCTGGATACTAAGGCAGGAAAAATATCACGGTTTATACCATTATCTCAAATATGTTTTTAAAAAGTGCTTATCTACTCTAAAGATCAGGAATAATATTACATGCTAAGCCTCAATAATATATTCTCATGTCTACATAATCTTGAAAAATAATCTATATCAGGCTATGTGTATATGTGTAAAAAGGACACTGAATTAGGCAGACCTGGGTTTACAACTGATTTGTCACTGGCTGCCTTGAGAGCATGTCATTGAACATCTCTGAATCTCAGTTTCCTCATCTATGAATTGAGCATGGCAATCCTTGCACCTCATGGCTCTTGTGAGGACTCAAAGGATACAATAAACATAAGGTGCACAGTACGCCACTTCACATATTAAGAAGCACTTAAATTTTGTCAGTGTCATGCCCAACCAAACCTTATTATTCAATTTGGTATCTTGCAAATAATCACAGGGGAGGTCAAGTGAAAGAGATTGATCAATAATCCAAAATACAGCTCTAAACCTTAAAAAGCATTCAAAGGGCACATGCAGAAGCAGTAGCAGCACACACACCCTATACCCCTATTAAGCAACACAGATTATAGAAAAAGAGTAGTGGAGCCAAAGTTATTCCCTTAAAGGATGTACAGAGCCATAAAGCAGATTAAAACTTGTGTTTTAGAATAGCAAATAAAGGCACAGGTGGGAACCTCAGCTTTCTTTCACTGCACAAGGAAGGCACTGGGTTGTCTACTCCTAAGGGGTTGCTATCCCCCAAATTCTATGATTCTAGTATAATGGGTTTAGTGCCATTTTACTTATTTTTAAATCTACTAAATTACTCCACTCCTTACAAAAAAGCCATACCACCATTGTGAATTGTATTATACAATAGTAAGGCAGTTTTAAAACGTACACATGCATACAAATACACACACAAACACACACACAGACACAAACACACAGTTAAATGATTCTTTCAACAAATGCCTTTAAGGAGAGATAATTTTTTTTTTTCACACCATAACCATGAACTCAAACTGTTACAGATAGAAATTCAGGATGCTGACCATTTGAATTTTCTCTGTGATACGAAAAGCACCCGTTGGATCAATTTTTTTCTCCCTGAATTTACTAATTGATGTGTCATTTTGGTGTTATGTGGACAGAGGTTAACTAACCTGTATGAACATCAAAAAATGTTTCTCCTCTTCCAGAAATGACCACAACAAGGATGTGGTGAGTTTGACTGCTGCTCTTAATCGTTCAAACACCCATTCATTTGGCAATCTTTAACAAACACTGAACACCTAAGTAAAACTAAACAGTTACAGGGGGGTAAAGCTCAACTTTTAAACTAAGAGAGGAAGATGTAATATCCATCACAGACGAACTGTAAATACATGTAACAGATGTGACGAGGGCTGTTCTTGAGTATAGATCATTTTAGTGGCCCAACTCGAACACTACTTTTTAAAAAGATGCCAAAGCTAGTAAGTTTCTCTTTTGCTCATAAAAGACTCAAAGGTAACCAAATAAACTATATTTTTGTTATAATAGAAAATAAAAACCCCTGTTCACCAATGAATTATAGCTCCTAGGTGCATTTTCTTTTTCTTTTGGTGATTTTGCCACCCTACTTTTTAACAAGAATAATTTTCCAAGCATCCAGGCATGTGTATGCTTTTAGTTTGTTTTTAAGAACAATGATATAACGGATATTAAATCCCTTTGTATAAGTTACCATATAGGTTACAACTATTTCTTAAAAATAATTCCAGAGCCCACCAATTCATTCTGTTAAGGTCATGGAAGCTCTGAACCACCATGGCTGAATTGTTTTAGTGCTCTCTGCTCAACACCTGCGAACATCAAACAAAACCTGCTGGTCCTTTCCTGGGTTGACAAAAGCCTTTCATGTGAAAAATGCTCCCTGGGAATGTCAGGCTGTAGCTCAGGTTACATTCCATTCTCCCTAGCAGCCTCACCATTTCTTAAGGTGGTAGGGAAAACCATGTTTGTGAAATGAAAGATGAAAGGGAATATGGCCACACTTTACTTTCATTCCCACATTGCAAATCACAATGGAGCATCCTATATTAATCGATTCAAAAGCTATTGGGAACTTTATGCATGAAATATCACCATGCCTCACTTTGAAGAAATATGGCTGGTTTTGCAAATATGAACAGTTTACTTACAGTCTGGGTCTTTTTTTTCTTAGACCCAAGTTTCAAAGCTACCCATGAAAGGGACATCTGAGGCCACTCAAGACAATGGATATTAACCTGCAGCAAATTTAGAAAATTATTTCTCTGTCCAAAGTTTCCTAGTTCATCCATCCAGTTAAAGAGCAAAGTTCAGTTTTCCTGATTTTTCTATTTGATATTCTTTAAAAGAGATTTGTCTTTGTCATAGAGTGGAAATATAAGCCATTTTTTTTCACTAATAGCTCTGTGTTCAAATATGTCTTGAATAGATGAGAAAAACCAACACCACAATCTGTACTCCATATATTATAGTCACCAACATACCACAGTGGATAAATACTTCCCATTTTCATTCCAGCTTCCAGAACAAAATAGCCACTGCATTTTTTTACCTTTACAAGTAAACATTTGGGCCTGAAAACTGCAACTGTGGTACACTGTAACTTAGTGTTCAGCACCTTAAAATAATCACAGCATCCTCATTAGAAATATCATAACATGTCTTACTAAGGATAAAGTCTCTTCTAGAAGTACACATGTGTGTACTTGTGTGTTTTTGTGTATAGGTAGATAGATATAGATATAGATATAGATAGATATTTGTCTTAAGAACTGTGTAAGTTCAATATATAATCACTTACTAAAATGCATTAATACATATTCTTACTTATCAAGCCTGTACTCTCTGTAAACATTTAAACATCATAGCAAAGACTCTATTTAAATGTGAACACAAAAAAGGGACCAGATGCACAGTTGTCTTTTTAAATGTAACACAATTGCATGCTCCTAAATTACTCTACTTTATTAAACCATACCTAAGCTGATACACTTAAGTTATTCCAAATGTATCAGTTTTCACACAGTGCAAAAGAGTTTTTTGCACTTTGAAAGCAGTCTATCTCTGGGCCTTTCTGACATAATCGACTTTTAGATTTAAGCTGAATACACATTTTCTTAAGTAAAATCATAAAGAAAATTACTGTCAGAGATCAAGTTAGTTACTGTTTTGATACTGTCTAACATGAAAAATTAAGTTGTCTACAAGACATACTTATACTGATCTGTACTTCAAAGTTATGTAGAAAATATAATACCAAAATTTGGAAGGCATAATACCAAGACAACAAAAGATGTGAAGTCCCTTAATGGAAAATATAACAGGGTCCAAGGCAGCAGAAAACAAATATATGGTCAATAGTACTTTTAACCAAAGTGGACCCCAAAATTGTCTCTAACATTATAAATCAAATTAATTATAACATTATAAATCAAATAAATCAAATTATGGAGATATAACTTAGTCTTATGGGAGCCAGAAGAAAAAGAAGTAACTTATTCGGAAATGAGCAACTTTTAAAAGCCACTGATTTTATAGAAGCATATCAATTATACAAATCACAAAGATGAACAGATTTCTTTCATTGCCAGAGCATCAAATGAAAATTAAGAGATGTGAAATTATATTCAACAGTTAACAGAAAATTCCATTGGCATCTCACAGCTAAAGGATGTCAACATTTACCAGTCTGACTTAAGAGTGGTACTCAGTCTAATGTACTCTTATTACCACTGCCAGAACTCCTAAAATACTACAGCTGCTTAAAAAGTATAAATGGATCTAAGCCTAAACCTAAAGTATAGCAGGCAACCATGTATGCTTCCTTCCTATATGAAATTCACTGGACCAAAAAAAAAAAAAAATTAAGTGAATATCATATTTTCAGTTTTCACTTTAATAAAAGACCTTCAGGGAGTCCCCTATTAAAACTCCTTAGATGCCAGATAATCATTGCGCACACAGATTCCTTTGTGAATAACGCTAACATCTTCTTAAAGCATCACCCAAAGACCTTTCATTTATAAAATGTAAAAGTCCTTCCATATTTGCAACTTTAAATAGAGCAAAAATTCACTGCACAGGAAATGCTTAGGGGAAAAAATAGCTAAAGCACCAAAAAGAATATTTTAACGATAAATGAATTCATATTTTGCTCTCAGAGAGCAAGAGGCTCTCTATTTACAGCTAGGGTTTACTATGCAGAATTCATCTGCTAAATTAAGTGCTCACTTCTTTAAAAGGGTTAATTATACATAGTACCTAATAATTAATATTATTTACAAGGGATTTTCCCTTTTTTTGAAAGTTAGTTTTTCCCCTCTATTTTCAAATAGGGAAATAAATTCATTTTCCCCATGTCAACACTGGCCTTATCTTCACATGTCTGATTACAACTGTATTAGAAAATTGTTTTTAAATTAAGTAATGGAATTCTGAGACAGTTTCCTTGATTGATAAAAAAAAAAAAAGCCCTAATTGTAATTTTGCAAAAGATAACATTTTGTGTAAGCTATACTACTGATGGATAATGAAATAACCATATCATTACAGGCTAAAATTTCAATGACTTTTTCAGAACACTTCAACAGAGCCAAAAATATACAGAGTGAATAAACAGCTAAGAACACTGAACTACACGCTAAGAAAAGAATTTACATACTTGAGCCAGTAAAATGTCCACTCGCCAAAGAAGTTGGTCCATTTTTCCCACTGCTCACAGGAGGTGAAAACATCTAAAAGAAACAAAGAAATATTACTGTCGAAAAGAAGACATTTGTGCCTTTAGAGTTCGTCAAAGATCTTTCACAGTCTTACCAAATAGCTTAAGAGTTTAGGCTAAAGGTTCATTTTAATAAAATACATCACCATCCAACTTAAAACCAAAACAAGCTTAACATTACCAGTCACCTCCCCCCCCCCCCAACCCCTTTAACACTCTCTCCTTTCTTTTTCCTCAGGTTCATTAGATTGCCAGCACTAGGCAATACTGCTACACTTTAAACAAACACAGTCCCCATAATGTTATCAAGATTCAAGTTGGAGGGCAGCGGCCTCTCTAGAAAACACTAGTTTTACAAAGGAGAAGAACAAAGTTGTTTGTTTTATATTGAAAACCTTGGCCATAAACGTGGCAATGTCCATTTCCATCCCGTATAGGATTTGCCTGTCATATGTGAACCCAAATAAATATAAAAGTGCCACCTGCACTAAATTCTCATTTCGTCTCTAACATGAGAGCAATTTGTAGCAAGACTCTCTCTCTCTCTCTCTCTCTCACTCTCTCTCTCACTCTCTCTCACTCTCTCTCTCTCTCTCCCTCTCACTCTCTCTCTCCAGCATTTATTTCGACCCTAATTGGTTTCCCTCTTCTTCGACGTATCTAGTGGATAATGCGCACCTTCCCTGAGTCAGAGCCTGCAAAAAGCAAAGGAACGAATGGAGAAAGTGCAGCAAGCAGAAAGGGGGCTACAAAGCTGCCTAGGGCTACGTTTCCTGGCAAAACTTCCGAAAGCCATTTCTCCAGAAGAAGGTCCAGAAGAGCAACAGCGGCAGCAGCGGCAGCAGCGGAGGCGGCGGCGGCGGCGGCGGCGGCGGCGGCGGCAGCAGCGGCAGCAGCAGCGGCAGCAGCGGCAGCAGCAGCGGCAGCAGCGGCAGCAGCAGCGGCAGCAGCGGCAGCAGCAGCGGCAGCGGCAGCAGCAGCAACATGAAAGAGCCCCACTTAGAAGGCGGTTTGGATTTTATTTGTGTGTTTTGTGGATTCTTTTTATTTTGCTTTGCAAATGCATCTTACACCAAACTCATCGGGCATTAAAAATGAATTAATTCCCCTGACAGGTCTGGGACTTGGTTTGGGAAAGGGAAGCAAAGGGATGGAGAGGGACCAACTACAGCCGTAAAACTCCACAAGTGTGTTAAGTTTGGCTTTGTGTTGATATCACGACTGTGAAATTTACCAAAACAGTCTAAAGGAGTCTAAGGAATGTATGATGCTCGGTACACATACACGAGTTTTCAGAATCCTAGGAAAAGATGCAACTAAAAGGACTACAGGTCCTACGAACCCAAAGCATCATCAATTTAAAACTTTAAGAGACAACTGGGTCTCCTATTTTCTCTTCTCCATTTCCAGAAAAAAAATTAAAATAAAATAAAACAAGTAGTATGCAAAGTAGTATGAGTACTCTCATGTTCAGATAAAGCCAGGTTTTAGGGTTGTCTGTTTGTCCTTTCATTTGGGGTGAGATTCCATTATTTTGGAGGTCCGGTGGGTAGGGAATTCAAGGGAAGTAATTACACTCTGGGAAAAAAAAAAAAAAAAGCCTGAATCGTCCATCACACCCAAAAATTGTAGTTAAAAACTTATCAAAAAGACCTTCTTGTTTGCCAAGGATTCAGCCAATTAAAAATTATTCCTGTCCTTTAGGCTACTATTGGTTTCTAGCTGAAGTGTTTGGGTTTTTTTGTTTTGTTTTGTTTTGTTTTTCACAGCTGTTGTTAGTTTCCACCGTTCTTTCTTACCGCACTGAAATCCAGTAAATCACTCAGCTCTTTGTCCGTCCCTAAGGCAGCCATTCGCTGTTGGTGATGCATTTTAGCAAAATCACACAAACCTAGAAACATGGAAATAACCGCAATCAGAAAATCCAGTCCCAATCCTTGGAGAAAACACAATCGGATTTTTGGAGACTGGGGGGGTTGGGGGTGGGGATGTGGGGGCGGGCAGGATTAAGGTGGAAAGGAGGGAGGGATGGGAGAGTTTGTTGGTTTTGTTTTGGTTTTTTTTGTTTTTGTTTTTGTTTTTGTTTTTGTTTTTTTTTAAGATGGAATAGGCAGCAATAGCAAAAAAAAAAAAAAAAAGCGATATTGATATTGTATTTCCAAAGAGACGATCAAAACTGGTAACATCCACTATAAAACCAAATCCGGGAAGGGGAAAAAAAAAAAAAAAAGCCGCTCTTCAGCGCATCATTTTATGCAACAGGAGGTAGAGCGAGAAATGAATGGATCACAGAGAAAAGAGAAACTACTCAGAACGATCCGGTCTCAACTTTCCCCCCACCCTCCACCCCACCCCCCTCACACACATTCACACACTCACACACACGCACACACACTCACACACACCACTCCCCTCTGCATTTCAAAGTAGCTATAAAGAAATTAAAGATGAGCGTCTCTGGAGTGAAAACACGTCCAAAGGGGGAGGGGTGACAGGGTCGGCGAAAGGGGGGGAGCAAAGTGGAGGGTCGGGTCCTGTAATTGTCCAGCACCCTAATTTGTGAAAGAAAGGGTTGTAAAAATTAAAGTCAGGCCCTTGGCAAAGTCATCGGTCCCTCCAAGTGGCATTGCTGGGGAGGGGGGGCGGGGGGGTAGAGATGAGGAGGAGGGAAGAGGCGCGGGAGGGGAAGGGGTGTCTCTTCTGGGAGCGCCGGGAGCCGGGAGCCCGCGGCTCGGGAGGCGCGGAGCCGCGTGCGGAGCCGCAGAGCCCCAGCCCCGCGCCACCCGGCGCTTCAGCCCGCCGAGCCCGCCGGCGCCGGTACCTACCGCCCGCGCGCGAGAAGGGGCTCTCCGTGCACCGCCGGCGCCGAGGCGGCGTTCATGTCTAACCACTGCCTCCACCACCACCACCTCCTCCTCCTGCGCCCGCGCCCGCTCCTGCTCCTTCCCCGCCGCCGCCGCCGCCGCCACCGCCACTACAGATCCGCAGACACACAGCCAAGATCCCTGACTCTTAACACCAACTCTCTTCTCCGGGGAGGGGAGGGGACGAGGGAAGGGGGGAGGGGGAAACACGCCGAGGCGCACGGAATTGCAAGTTCAGCAAAGAAATGGGTGGGGGGGCTCCGGCGGCGAGACGCGGCTCACTCGGGTCGGGCTGGCTGGGATGCACACACACACACGCACACACACACACACACACACACACACACCCCAAAAAAATCTCAACACCTCCCCCGCCTCGCAAAAAAATACAAACGAAAATTCGTCAAGCACCTCATTTTCCCTCAGATCGTCAGTTACAATCTGAAGCCTGAACAGTTCAGTTTTTGCTCGTTTCATCCATCGGAGGCACTTTGAAATTTATTCGAGTTTACATCCCCTCACTTCTTTCTTTCTCTGACTCTCGTTCCCTCTCACTCACACATCCACACACAGCAAAGCAAGTTTATACTAGGCTGCAAATACACGTGATGCAAAAAGACTTTGCCAAGAGGAACAATATTTTTCTTTTCCATATATAAACCAAACCACATTTTGCTGGGGAGATTTTCATTTCGGTAGTTTTGCACTGGGGGCGAAACCTAAATTGCATACTTTCTTTCCCCTCCCTTTTAAGTCACAGATTAGTATAGCTGCAAACTTCGCAAAAAAAAAAAAAAAAAAAAAAAACAATTTTTGAGGGTGGATGTTGTTTTGTTTTTACACTTGAGTTCCTAGCCACGCTAAGTCCCCGTTCGCCAGCACTCTAAGTTTTGAATTCAACATTTACCATTGCAGGCCTTGCATGCTCTTAAAACATACTTTTTCACATCACTTTTTAGGATTAAAATTAAGCTTCATAATTCTATCGTTTCATAATAACAACCGTGCTTTAACCAGTATATGCAACATACGCTATTTTAACGTGTGTTAAAATACACATTCCAGAAACCCTGTAATTGCTAGATGTGCAAGTACATACACAAAATGCATGCACACACTTTTTCCCATTGGCAATTATTTAATAGGTTATTCCTTTTGTTTTAATAAAACATTGGGATCGACATATTAAAAATTAAATTCAATTACAAACAGTTTACTCTGACAGCAAATTGTAACGTTACCTTAAATGGCCACAAATATGCTCACAATATTCCAAGGAAAGTGACTTTAAAAAGAAAGACAAAAATCTTCTGCAAGTACTTAGTATCTCACATGTGTATCCCCCAAAAAAGTATTTTAACTGGTACTCAGTTCTGCTCCAGGGATATCCACAGAATACAAGATTATGCACCTGGCTCTGGTTTTTGCATTTTCCACCATAAAACTGCAACAAAATTCCCTCCCCCAAAAAAGAAATCATTAAAAAAAAAAAATCCAACAACTTTTTCTTATTGTTTATAAAAAAAAATATCAATACAGGATAGTTAGAATTTTTCCTCAAACAAATCTTGGTGGGGTTTTTTTCTTCTCCTCTTATAAAGTCTTAAACTTGTTCCAAGTTTAGAGGTGTCTCATCATCATCATCCTCCTCCTCCTCATCATCATCACCATTGACTCCCCCGTGGAGTCACATTGATAATAATAGGTTTCCCTGAAAGATACATTGTAATCCATTCACATCCGGGCACTGCGGGCTTATAAAGAGAAGGCGCTGCGGCCGCGGCTGCTCCTCCAGACAATGACTGGGGAGGGGCGGGGCGGGAGCGAGCGGCCATAGAGTAGTAAACAGAGCGCCTAGAGAGGCACCTAAGATGGCGGCGCGTGCGGGCCACGCCTCCTCCGGGATCGGAGGCGAGTGGTTGGGCTCAGTCTGGTGTCGCGCGTGGGGCCGAACCGTAGAGGATCTTGAGGTTGGGGGTGTTCGCAGGCCCCGTGCTCCTGTGCACTGCTTCTTGTTCGCTTTCCTTGGTTCTCCCTATTTTTTGTTTTTGTATTTTTGTTTTTTAGGGTTTTTTTTACTCAGAAGTGTAGTTTCCAAAATAAATTAGGCATTACACGCCACAGATTTCCTCAGGGGAGTCTGATCCCCTGGCTCACCCTCAAGGGAGGCTGGGGAGAGGCCGTGCTGGCCCCGCCAACAAAAAGAGAGCCCGGATTCTTTGGCCGTGTGCAGCCAGGCCTCTTAGCCACGCTTCTGCAGCGTGGGGAAAGGCCCCTGAACCAAGTTGTAGTTCCTGGGCTTGAAAAGGGATGAGGGTCCTCTCCTCGCCACCCCACCCCATCTTTTTCTAGGACCCTAGAAGAGAACTTTCTAAGACGAGGAGGTCTTCACTCAGGACTTGAGTTAACTAAGTCACAGACTCACATAGAGTTTGTACCACGAACCACTACTGACCCAACTTAGAGTTCTGGCCAAGCAGTTACCTTCTCCAGCCAGATTTCTGGTCTGTGACTTGCAAATAATGATCACTTTTACGAATTTCAGGAGTTAAGGGGATAAAGATAAAGACGGAGCCACCACAGAAGAAAACTTCCCTTTCCATCTCTAATTCCTCGCTGAACCAACGGATACCGCTGATCTAGTCCACGGATTTTAAAGGGAGCTTTCTCTCTTCCACCATGGTATTAGTCCTCCCACGGGAGAAAAGCGAGTAATCATAATGATGGGTTAACACTTACATAGTGGGTTTACTATGTGCGAAACACTGTTCTAAGAATTTTTCAAATGTTGGCTGCTCTAATCCTGAGAATGACTCTACAGGGTATTTTTTAAATATTTTTATATTATATATTTTATATACAGAGGATCAGAATCAAGCAATGCTAAATAGCTTGACTCAGGACACTTTGGTAAATGACACAAACCTGCCTAACATTACACAACTTTATTAAGTGATAGAACCCACCTTTGAAGCCAGGCAGTCTGGGATCAGAGTCAACATTCAACCACATTCCTATACCATCTGGCAGCAGGAACCACCTAATCTCCATTTTTTGATGCAATTTTGTGGCAGTAACAGACTTCAGATTAATTTTTAAGACCTTTAATTCATATGTAAGTTTTTAGAAAACAAGAATTAGGGCATTTATAGTTTGTTTCCTGAATATTCACACATTGTGAAGATTTCTGTCTTCTATCCCCATTCCATGTCCTCATCTTAAAATAAATTTTACATGTAAATACAACTTTACACTGCATTATCACCGCATTATCTGTGATTCTCAAAGTAAGCTTCTACAGGGTTATACTGAGATGATGTAATAAAAAATTCACAAACATTTGCTTAGGAGAAATATTCCACTGCTTCTACTTCTAATCAGCTCCATGACCTAAGGCTTGAGGTCAATGTCTTACTGTAAAATATATAGGCTAGAAGATAATCCCTTAAGATTGTTTCTGGTTTCTAGTTAGATTGTAAGAGTCTCCCTCTCCTGAATTTCAAGGGGAATAAATGATCTGTCCAGGAAAAAAAAAAAAAAAAGATACGATCAGGTCTGAAACCTAAATGCACACAACTGATTGCTAGCATTTTTTTTTTTTTGGTTTATTTTATTTGTTTGAGAGAGAGAGAGAGAGAGAGAGCAGGAGAAAAAGCAGAGGAACAACATTGGGAGAGAGATAATCTCCAGCAGACTCCCTGCTCAGCACGCAGCCTGACCAGGAGTTCAATCTCACAACCCTGAGATCATGACCTGAGCTGAAATCAAGACTTGAACGCTTAACTGACTGAGCCACTCAGGCAACCCTAGCACACTTCTCTTTGTTGTTTTAAAAAACACCCGACAGTCCGAAAACCATGTAACCCCCTTCCTATATTAAATTCAGGGACAAATGTGGATTGCTTTTGTTTTTGTTTTGTTTTTTTTCCCCCTGAACTATCAGAAGGATAGATATATCTACAAAGTTATACTTAAGAAGATTGGAGACAGCTTAGAAAGGAAGACTCAATAGAATTTTGTGAAATTTGGATGAAAAGGTAAGTGCAGCAGATATGATTTGGGATGTCTCTTCTAATTACTGACTCCCTTCCTTAAAAACCTGTCCATAAATCCTGATCTAGAGGTAGAACTTGGTGTGGGTACTATATGATTCTTTCCTATTCCAGTCTCACCAAGCTGATTGGATCATAGGAACTAAAAGAGGAAGATTGACCGTAGTCTATGGTGAGTGATAGATCTGACTTGTTGGAGTCAGCTGGCCAGGGCTGATGCCGGGAAGCCAAGCCATGTGAGCCCTGGTTATGGGGAAACAAGAACCATGAGTAAGCAGAAATTGCTCTTTAGATAAGAAAGATTTTGATGGTTCTGAGAAAATCAGACAACTTGATTCCTAGGAAGAAATGAGTAGAAATACTTTCCCAATTATTATGAGGGTCACTTTGCCCCTGTCCCTAAGGTTCCCCTTCCCCAACTGAGCTAACCTGAGTACTTTTCTGATCCTTGCCACTGAAGAATTTAGAATTTAGAAAAGCAAAGGATTCTTTAGATTTCAGCATTTCTAAACAGTCCTTAACATTAAAAATAATAATAATAATAAGTGGTGACCACTATTCTAGAGTATAATCACCGTTCCACTTCCACATGGTAGCAATTCTATCCAATTAATTGTGCCACATAATAGTCAGGACAGTATATACAAATGTCATTCCCTTTCTACTATGTTGTGACCTTGAGCAAATTTCACATCTCATCAGAAGAAAAAAAATTAACTTGTCTTCAATACTTTACATGACTGGTTAAAATCAAATGAGATGGTAGAGATGAAAGTACTCTGAAAATAACAAATTATTATGAAATGTAAGGCATCATTATTGCATAAACTAAGTTGATGCCTAAAGATCACATTTAATTCATAGGCGTATGGAAGGAGTGGCAAATATTGAAACCCAATGAGTCACAGAAAAGGACAGACATTGAAGGGGGCTTGGACCAAACCCTTGAGTTTAGTTCAAGATTTCAAGGTCACATCACTAATGAGTTACAGAGGCAGAAGTAGCCCTCCAGTAACTGAATGCCAGTCTAGAATGCCATACCATTCCTCTTCAAATTTCATCAACTTGGATCTCCCCCAATATTGTCCATGTTAAAATAAACAAGCAGACAAAACTATACACACACTCTGCTCCTTGATGATCTCAAGAAGTTCATCCAAAAATTCAACAAATAATTTTTGAGTGCCTACCTTGGGTGAGCATTTCTTCTTTTAGGCCCTGAGGCAAAAATTTAGGCCAAAAAAAAAATCACACCAATATAAAAGTCAAGGACAGGCTTGACTAAATAGCGAAGTCACTGTGAACAAGATATGGCTTGTGGGAGATATGTGGAAAAGGAAGGTCTATCCCAGTAAAAATTTAGGGCACAGCCATCAAGGACCCCAGACTGGAGCCCCACAGACATTGCAAGGCTGAGTCAGAAAAGCAGGATAGAAGAGGAGGAATTAGTCAGTGTGTGCGGCAGGAGTCCATAGCTTCATGATGCATGCATAATCCCACCTACCCAGGGCCTTTGCATTTGCTGGTTCCATGATTCTTTCTCTTGGTGGCCCACACAACTGGTTTCTTACCATCCTTCTGGGCTCAGCTTAAACCTTACCTCTTCCTAGAGACCTTTCTAACCATTCTGTCTAAAGTAAGCACCACTCGTACTATTTTCTGCCACATCAACTTTATATCCTTAGTGGCACCTTTCTCATTGGCACCCATTTGTTAGTATGTTTACGTTTAGTCACCTGTCTTCACGGTCAGACCGCAGACTCAGTAATGCTGGCACCATATGAATCTTGTTCACTCTATTTTCCCATACCTAATGCAATGCCTAGCACATATCAAGCATTTGATAACTATCTGTTACATAAATGGATCAAGAATCTGTCTTTATTCTTAGGATGCACCCTTTATAGTGAAGAGTATAGCTTTCATACCTTTTCAAATCAGGCTGTCTTTAAGGTTTTCTGTTAGCTTGATTTCCTTGTTGGTAAATGTTGCTGGCAAATATTCACTGTGATGTGAAACAGGCCACTGGCCCCTTGTCACCTCAATCCCAGACCCTAAAGGATTGGGTCATAGTATCGCTTCACTACTGTAACATTTTATGGATGAGAACACTGAGGCTTGGGAATACAACAGATTTCCTGAGGTCACACAGCCCCTACACGGCAGAGCTAAGATTCAGAAACAGGTCAGCCATGCTTCTGTTCACAGTTCAGTGGCATGTGTCATGGCTTTAACAAGCTTAGGAAACCGTATGGTTAACAAACCATAACAAACCTTCCTTATTGGACCTAGGCACACTAAAGGGCAGAATTTTTATTTTAGCTATTTTTAGAT